GAGGAGATTGATGATCTCAAAAAATCATTGCAGCAAGAATTTGAGATCAAAGATCTTGGTAAGCTCAAATACTTCTTAGGGATTGAAGTTGCAAGATCCAAGCATGGGATCTTCATTTTACAGAGAAAGTATGTACTTGACCTACTGCGAGAGACTAGGAAGCTAGGGACCAAACCAGTAGACACTCCTATTGATCCAAGTCATAGAATTAATGGTGTGGATGGTGAACTGGTAAAAGATGTGGGGAGATATCAAAGAATGGTGGGCCAACTGTTGTATTTGTGTATGACACGACCAGATATTTCTTATGCTGTCAGTGTTGTGAGTCAATACATGCATGCACCTCGGGTTCAGCACTGGGAAGCTATTGAGAGAATACTTGCATATCTRAAAAARCACCCTGGCAGAGGCATTCTTTTCTCAAATCATGAGAATCTGAAGCTAGAATCCTATACAGATGCAGACTGGGCAGGATGATTAGATGATAGGAGATCTACATCAGGAGTGTGTACCTTTGTAGCTGGAAACTTGATCTCCTGGAAGAGTAAGAAGCAAGCGGTTGTGGCAAGGTCAAGTGCAGAGACTGAGTATAGATCCATGGCTCATGGTGTCTCAAAACTTCTTTGGGTTAGATCTCTTTTGAGTGAGATTGGGATGAAAGCAAAGGAACCTATGATGTTATACTGTGACAATCARGCTGCAATCAATATTGCCCACAATCTAATTCAACATGATAAGACAAAACACATTGAAGTTGATAGACACTTTATAAGAGAAAGGGTAAAACCGGAGAAATTTGTTTGCCTTATGTCTCTTCAGAGTTGCAGCTGGTTGATGTTCTCACTAAAGGGGTGGCAAGGAACAAACTTGAACATGATCTACACAAGTTGGGAATGTGTGACATTTACTCCCAACTTGAGGGAGAGTATTGAAGATTAATTAGTTTTATGATGTTTTTCTGAGTAGATGTTTTATGTTAGTTGTTAGATARGAGGTGGGGACCACAGTAGTTATGTGAGCCCAAATTTTATTATGTCTTTTGAGTGTTATATATGTTGTTTTATGTTTTTCCGCCCTATAAGGGCATAGTTGTCTTTGTACTGTTCTATTATTTTAGTATAAATAATAAGTGAAGTGGGCGGCCAGATTATTGCTCTCTTTTCTTTCAGCTTATCTTCTTCTCCTTCTCTCTTCCTTCTCTCTTCAATAAACTACTTTCTTTCATGTTTTTTAATTCTGTAGATTTCTATGATCATCATTGGAAATTTGCCAAGCTAAAAAGATTATCAGTTTGAGTACATGCTGATGATTATCAATATACAGCATTTTCTCATCTATACTATTCTTCTTTCTTTTTCCAGCCACCAAAGGTATATACAGAACAAATGCAAGGTAATAAGTCAAGAGGTCAGTTAGTTAAAATTCTGAACTGAACCATGAGATCTTAGGTTCTGGGTGAGAGAGTGAATGGCTTGAAGAAGAACTTTATAGCTTGGGGAGCTGCTCAAACAAATCAAGAGTATTTGCAAGAAAATATTATCCTGATCAGACATATACCTGAGTCAAAACTTGAAATTCTCTTCTCAACCAACTTTGAAGCCACTTATTTGGCTGAAGATATCTTTGACGCTTCCAATATTGTAAAACATCAAATTTTTTACATATGGCACCTGTTGCACACAAAAATTTAAAAAAAGAAATTCCAAATAATGGGTTTACTACAATAAATAATTTATCACAAATATTGGAGAAATGGAAAAGACCATAGAATCAAAATAAATGCTCTTAATCTTGGATACCTGATTCACTGTAGTAGCATCTCAATCTATATTTGTGAGCTTCTGACAAGGAAAATCTGCAAAAAAAAGGCCCATTAGAATAAAACCTCTAGCACTTGCAAGAAAGAAAACCAGATACAGATACTTATTAGTACCTATTCCCAAGGTCATGGTTAATATAATGGCGTTGAAAAGAGTCTCCATCACATCCATATATTATAGAAGAGTTATCACTCTGGACGTTAAGAAAATTTTAGCAATGGAGCAAGATAACTTGACTGGAAAACTATCAGATTAAACATAAATAGATAGAAACAAAAGTAGTGGAAATAAACTAGAAGTAATAATGAAATAATTGGCAAGCCAACTTCTTGTGTTTGATGAATCAGCTTCAACAAACAAATGTAACAAGTAATTAGCTTCCATGAACAAATGCATCCTTAAGAGAAGATGAGGATTTAGAATGCCAATCCAAATAAGGTATACTAGGTAAAATCATGCTATTTGTTGATCATTGGAGGTGAAAAACACCCATACAAAAGGGCTAAGCAGCTGAATATTAGCAAGTTGCTGGTGGAAGGTGACTCCCAACTGACTGTTAGATGGTTGCAGATGGAAGAGTCCAGCATGTGGAAGTTCTCAAACGAAAGAAAGAAAATCAAGCAACTAACTCAGAACATGACTATAAGGTTTCAATGGGCTAAGAGGAGTACCAACTCCATGGCTAAACAGGGGGTGGGAAGATCTAATTTGTGAGCTATTCTGTAATATGTTTTTTCGGGTTTGAAAGGGAGGGTTAAGACATTTTACCCCTCCACTCTGGTTGTATCTTACATATCTCTTTTAATAAAAGTGCTGTTATTGATCAAAAAAAAAAACACCCATACAAATAAGATTAATTTGGCCCAACATTCCCACAAAGATTTATTTCCTCAAGTGGAAATTCTACTTAATATAAGTTTTTAAGCAAAGACAGTCTTATATCTAGGGGAAAGGATATCCATAATAAGTAAGCCCCTCAGTGCTCCTCTTCTACCAAGATTTGGCTTCAGTTCATGAATGAAGGATTTATTTAGTATGGCCCATCCCTGAATCTGGTAACATTTCATATTTGTTGATCTCGACACAAGGAGTAGAGTAACAAGCCATCCTAAGGCATAAAATTGCTTGAAGAATGGAAGGAGATTCAAAAGTGGTGGCAAGCCGGCTTAAAAATTATAGCCTAGTCACATGGCAATACAGAAACATCATCAGGGAGATAAAAAGAAAGGGATATGGTTATCGATATTAATTTGATACATGGATCAGCCAGTGGGCTAGCTGATGCTATTGGGAAAACAGGGTGTCCATAGAGGACATTTGTTCTGGGGGCTGGTGGAGAATATTAATGTAAAAGAATTTCTATAGTAACAGAAAAAGAAGGATGAGGTGGGCAACCAGCCTAAGATGGGGATGCCTGGTATCTTTGTATGTATCTCAATTGTTCTATTATTTCAATAAAATTCTAGTTGCCAAGAATAAATAAATAAATAAATAAATAGATTGCTTTGAGCTAAAGAAAACAACCCTATCCTATATTCCTATAGAGAGAACTACAGCTATTCATTAATATATGATCTAACCAACATTAGATAGGTGATTATTAAAAAAACAAAGCCTTCAACAAAGACTGGAATATCATATGAGACTCTGATAACTTGGGGGTAAAAGCTCAGTAAGACAATGCTCTCAGCAATTTTATTACCATTTAAAAAGAAAATGGAACATTTTCAACGGCAAAATAAGCAATTATGACTATTAACAAACCTTGCAGATAGGACATTTCAAAGTAGATTGTGAGTGAGAATGCTGAGTAGCAACAAAAGTGGCCCATTGAGAAATGCAGTTGTAGCAAAATCTGTCTGCAAATTTTAAAAGGTCGAACATATCAGACTGGTGAACTTGAAAAGATATTTTCAGAATTCATATCTTATAAACGAATGTTGTCTTCAGTCTTATATTCCCGGAACCACTCCACTGGTTAACCAGTAAGTGAACTAAAACAGACACTCCCTGTAATGGGGAAAAACTGAACAGAAATTATAGAATAAATAAGTCAAAGTATTATAGAGTTTAGATCAATGGGTCTAATTTTCTTAGAGTTTAGAACAACCCCACTCGTGCAATTGAACAAAAATCGCAGAATTAATAGATCAGTGAAAGAAAGAACGAATTATACGGAGAGAGAGAGACATACGGAAACAGCGATCCAAGTAGGCCTCCTGCTTTACAAGTCCGAGGCAGATGGGACAAGGGTTGATTGGGTCGGCAGAGGAAGAGGACTCGCTCTGGTTCATGTCTGGTCGGTGCTCCCTCTTCAGTCTTCATGCACATCGATGATCGAACGCTCCAGCGCCCAAGTTCCGTCTCATCTCATGAGTTATGACTCATGACTTCCGGATGGAGTTAGTCCCGGTTTTCCAAGTACAGGCCGGGTTTATATCGGATAGCCCATGGTCCAAAACCCGGAAAGACCTTTTACAGTTTTACAGCTTTACCTGATCCGGAGACATAGGCCTTCACAAACTTGCCAGCTGGCCCATGTACACAGAAGACACGGTGTCCATGTCCACCATCACTAGGGATGGCAATTTTTCCCATTTCCCCAGTCCCTATGGGGATCCGCCCTGAATGGGGCAAGGATGGGGATGATTTTCCCCCCGCGGGGACGGGGATTGAGAGAGCACTCCTCGCTTCATGGGGACTCCAATCCCTGCTTCGTGGGATCCCCACTAATAATGTAAATATGCATATGTATGTATGTATGTATACGTTATATATGTAATAATGTAAATATGTAAACATACATCTATATATTAATATTTTTAAAAATATGGTTGAATATTTTCTAATACAATCATAAATGTTAATTATTTTATTTTATTTTTAACTAAAATAAAAAACAAAAACAAGATGGTTAGCATTATAAATAATCACGGGGAATGAGGATCCCCGTGGGGATGGGGATGGGGATAACCTTGTCCCTGTTAGCAGGAACAGGGACGGGGACAGGGATGGAGATTTTTGCAGGGACGGGGATGGGGAGGCTCTCGTCCCCGCCCCGCCCTATTGCCATTCCTAACCATCACCTTGGCCCAGCTCAACAAACTATTGATACCAAAATGGAGCCAGTGGACCCCACCCCAATACGTGATGAAGCATTAAATGGTGGGCCCACTACTTGATATCCTCATGCAAGGGGATATTTGGAATCGTGGCTGTTTTTCAAACAAACGATGTCACATCGGATCCACATTTTGAAACGTCCATATATCTCATTATTTGGTTCAATCGATTATTAAAAAAATCGGGTATGTCTCAAAAATCGAGACCTCATCGATGCATGAAACACCAGCATCGGTGAACTGTTTCTCTAATAGTTGACTGATGTATATCCTATACGGTGCTTACCCATCAGCACATACATGAAAAACGGTGATGAAAATCACCCCTTACCAAAGATCATAGTTTGGATGGAAGCATGAGCGTTTTTTGTGAAATCACATTTTTCTCACTGTGTACGTGGCAGAAACTTTTTTTCTGTGAAAAATGGCTCTTGGAAACATGGGTGTTTTTTTTTTTTTTTAAATAAGCGCCTACGCTTAAAAATAAAGTTAAAAGAAAAAGAAAAGCTAACGGTCTGTTTTTCCTTCTCCTCTTGAGCTTGTTCGGAGGTCTCTGTATTGTGTGGTATATGTATTCGCCTCACAAACAACGAAGACGATGCAGATCCATGGTGTCCTCTTCCATTTAAAAAACGCACCAACAGCATTATCGTTTATACAGCCGACCAGAGCATCCCCTTCGATTTGCAAATCCGTCGATCTCTCGGATCGTTATCCGTCGATTGTCGCTGCGAGAAGGAACCGGAGGCGAACCGCATCCAGGTGGCAAAGATCGAGCAGAGTTGCACTCCAATGCGTTTCGCTCATCGCATCGAATCTGAAAATGATACCGGAACCGCTCGACTTTATCATCAGAGAAGGGTTTGGCGGGGGAAATGGGGGAGGGCTCGGGTTTCTCAAGGGTCTCGGAGGTGGAGGGTTTGATGGGTGGGGGAGAAGGCGGAGCCGGTGGCACAGTAGATTTGGGCTTTTGGGGTTGCTGGGTGCTTGTGCCTTGGTTCTTCTGTTGGTTCTGGCAAAGGAACTAGATACTTGTTTCGGTTTGGGGGTTGTGAATTTTGTTCTACTGGGATTTTTGATCAGGGACTGGAAGGCTGAGATTAAGGGTTGGGTTTTGGGGTTTTGTTCCTGTGCTCTAATGGTGCTTTGCGGGTTGAGGAGAGAGGAGTTACAGAAATGTGTTAAGAATTTCAGGGTTCACTCTCCAATCATGGGGATGATCAAGTCGAAGAGGAGAAGAAGAGCTGTGTGAGTAGCGAGGTGGAAGCTTTTTTTTTATTTTTAACATTTTTGTTCTACAATGTACAATGAGAGAGTATGCCTCCTTTCTCTGTTTGGTGATGGTAAATCAAAATTAAATGTTTTCATGGAAGAACAGAATCATTTACTGGTTAGTTTCTATTTTCTAATTAATTTGCAGAGAACAGAATCCTTCCTAACACAACCTTTTGGTTGATTAATGGAGTTAACAAATACCCGCCATTAATTGTGTTGATTCTGTACCTGTACTTGAGGTAGTTGCAAAATTAGTGTTGGACTGATACCGTGCATTGAAAAGGAAGAAGTTCAAAATTTCCTGATTTAAGCCATAAAATGCTAACAGTACAAGTTCAAATTGGGATCCAAAGAATCCATTTGAATTAGATTAGCAATTTAGCATAGAAACCAATCCGATTGGAGTGAAGAATGAAGAAGAATTACATCTCAACTCCTTAATCAAAGGCCCAAGTATCAATGTATCATACTGAGTAAACAAAGGCCTGGAGATGCCTCTGCTCCCTGAATCCTGATTGAGAAAAAAAAAAAGTGTAAAGATCTTGAGATTCCTTAATGAGAACTTGTAACAAACTGATAAGAAGTTCCACTTACATCCCAACCCTTACTATACAAATTACAAGGAACAAGTAACTTTCTCTAGAGGAACTACAAGCTTGTGACCGAATCACAGTCACACATAGATATCCCTTACCGTGTATATATCTTTATGATACTATCAACCACATTTCACCACCAACCCTGCTTAGTGCTTACTGGAATGCCCATAAAATTGGGTTTACATATAGTATAATCCAAGGTCCAAAATAGATGTTCAACCAATGGCGCGTCTTAAACCCTTGTGTGCTTTTCAGAAACTGCATATTCATCCAACTCTCCTAGAAGCTCCAAATTAACTCCAGTTAATTTTAGGGATCTTCAGACCTTCCCATGAATTAGACTCACGTCTAACAGGCAGGATTTCTTCATGAATCAAACCTGTGCCTTAGAAGGTTCTCTTGAACCGTGCATGTGAGTAGCCTCACACCTTAGCAAAAGTGCATATAGGAGCTCATTCCACATATCAGGGACTCCAGGCAAGCACCAATGGCTGCAGTCTTGCCTGTGGAGAGGGGCAGGGCTGTTCTTCGACCCTAGATAGTACAACGATGAATGACCATCTTTCCTCTGAGATGTCATATGGGTTACATTCAACACTTCCAACTTCACCTGTGACTTCTTTGCGTGTCTTAATAATACATCAGAAACTATGCTTAACTGTGACCACGACCCAGATGGCATCGATGATGAACCCAGCTCAGGCAGCGTCTCCAAGTGACAGCTCCCTCCAGTCCTCCAATCTCCACCCCTGCAAAACCCAGTTATTTTTGTCTGCTAAAGAAATGTACTTGGTTATTTGTATCATTCTGAAACATGGAAATGGAAAAATTATCTTTGAGGTAGCAATAGTATTCATCCATCTCACATGGTGAAACTAACATATTTAGTTGTATCTATTGCCACTTGTGCAGTGTGAAAACCACAACTTGTGTACTGCTAGCTCATGATATGTATAATCAAACATTAAAAAACGTCTATATATAACCTCTCCAGTTGAGTTAGCATGCCCAGAAGAGTAAACATTATTAGATCCATGTCAATGGATCAATTATGTAACACAGTCAAATTACATGAATCCCAAAAGCCATGCAGATTCCAGCAGCATAGGTCATTTCCATTTTAATAACACGAAATGGAATTCCATGGACATAAAGATATTCATTTCTCTAGATGAGCTTTAACAGAGCAAATGGAGGATATAACCACAAAGAATGCAACCCACAGTTGGTTTTGGTTAAAGCATGAATTCTTAACGTATGTTGAAGTCATTTTTTTATTCAAATAATATTTAATAAGTGGGTTAGCTAGTCTGCTAGCCAAATCATTAAAACTATAAAAAAGTATCCCGTATGGGAGTTCTCTCTCTTTAAGTGGGAGTTCCCTCTCTTTAAGTGGGAGGGACAGGTGTCCTTCACCTAGGAGGAGGTAGTTACATAACTACCCCTCTCAGAGAATACTTCCTATATAGGTCTTCTGCTATGTATCCTTCTTTCTCTCTCTTTTATTTTCAGTTTTGAGAAAGGAAATAGAGGGAAATAAACCATCTACGACCAGGTACCTTTACTTGGTTGACTATGGTCCCTCTTCCAAGACAAAACTTGGAATTAAACCATCTACAGTCTAATTCTCAAAGACTGATTATGGTTCCTTTCAAATGAAAATGAAGAACAAGGGAATAAAATCATCTACAATCAAACATGCAATTTGATTGACTACGATTCCCTTCTTGTCTGCAAAAATCCAAAGGATTAACGCTGTCTACAATCAGAGTTTCATTTGATTGACTAATTGTGAAGAAAGGAGTGAGAAGGAAATTTTCTTTGTATTTAAAAGAAAAGAGAAATGTATTGCTGTATAGTTTCTCAATTGTATTTTCTTTTTCTTTCTTCTCATTCTTGTACACTTGATGTAAAAGAAAAGCAAATGAAAAGTTCTTTTTAAGTACCCTGTTGTTCTTTTCTTTTGTTCTATGCATTCATTTCTCCAAGTCAGAATCAAAAGGTGTTCTCTACTTTCTTGTGGAGATGTAATTAAGGGGAACAATCCGTATGATTCCCTGAATGGGCCTTATCCAAAATGATAAAAACTCAATCACTTGATTGAGTGAACTATGTTGCATGGGAATTTATAAAATTTTCACACCAACAACGTAAAACAAAAGAATCTGGAAGAATATTAGGATACTGCAGAACTTCAAATTTTCCATATCTTAAACAATTTACAAAAATCTGCTTCTTCCATTTCCGTAACACTGAAATGGAATTCCATAAACATAAAGACAGCCATTGCACTATATGAGCTTTAGCAGAGCAAATAGAAGATACAACTACAAAGAATGCAATTGGCTTTAATTAAAGCATGAGTTCTTAACATAAAATAAAGGAATCTGGAAGAATGTTAGGATGCTACAGAAATTAAAAATATTCCATCTCTTAAACAATCTACAAAATCTGCATCTTCCATTTTTGTAACATTGAAATGGAATTCCATGGACATAAAGATATCCATTGCACTAGGTGAGCTTGAGCAGAGAAAATGGAAGATACAACTACAAAGAATTCAAGCCACAACTGGCTTTAATTAAAGCACGAATTCTTAACGTAAAACAAAGGAATCTGGAAGAATGTTGGGACACTACAGAACTTCAAAATTTCCATCTGTTAAAACAATCTACAAAATCTGCATCTTGTTCAAAATGGGTTTGCTGAGTCCAAGATCCAAACCTGGAATTTATAATTCTCTCAAAAACTTCTCTAAGCTTTTATCTCTAACAACATTATAGAATTTTTATCCCTTGGAATTCTTTACCCTTTTATTCAAGGTCACAGTCCTCCAGAAGCCACTACCCCAAGAACTGGTCCAGTGGTTCTTCCTTTGGAGTTTGGAGACTGAAAATTGACAATGGGATTCCATTGTAAAGCATGTTAATAAAGTTCTCACTTAAGATTTCTTTGATTTGTAAGTTCTCACATAAGATCATTGAGCATAATTGACCAAAATGCAACTTAGGTCAGGCTAATACTAGCCCAACCGAGGGCTGGCTCATTGGTGTGTTAGCTGGTTTGTTCCAGAGTTGACATGGAATCGAATCCTGAAACCAGCACTTTGGGGGAAAAGGGGAAGTTATTAATGGTGCATGGCACCGAATACCAAAAAAAGAAGTACTAGCCCAACCACCAAAAAAATAGGGTTGGGTTGAAGAGTGGGTTGTTCAGCTTAGGGTTGAAAATTACCAACCCAATATAGTCAGTTTGGGTTATGGTTGATGCCTTGAGCAATATATTATGAACAATATATGCATCAACACCTGTATACAAATATGTTTATGTCAAAGGAAGAGAGGGGACAATGATAAAGAGTTTTTTTGTAAAATATTACTTTAATATGATGTCTCTACAGTACACATATAATATGCATGCTTGTGTATGTATGGTAGCATGTAGTTCTGCATGTGTTTATAAATTTGGTAGGTAAGGTTCCAATCCAATTTCATGATCTGTTTGGGTTAGGGTTGAAGTTTTAATGCATTGGGCTGGACCAGGATTGACCTAAACTTGAGCCAACCCATCCCAAGTTGTATCCCTCAAAAGCAACCCTTTAATAGTGTTTCTCAAACAATAATCATGCATCATCTTTGCAAGATACAATGAAATTATATTTTACAAGAAACGGAGTATCCCACAAGTTCAACAAGTGAAAATTTAAGCATTTTCCTTTTTTCTTTTTACAGAAGCACAGTGATTCTCTGCAGTATAAGTAGAAACCAGAAACTAGAAACAATAAAATTACATGTAAAAGAAAAAAGAAATACAACTTCGGTAACAACCAAAGTCAAATGATACAAAAAAGATTGGCAGAAAAACAAGTGATGGGGCATACCTGAAATGTACAGGGGCAAAGGTGCGAAAGAAGACCTGGGTCTTGCTTATGTTTACTTCCCCATCTATCCAGTTAATCAGCGTCTCAATTGATTTCTGATATGCACTTTCTACACTCATATTCATTTTGATCTCCTGCCCTTCTTGAAAATAGCAACCTCTGGACAGAGATAAGAATCCAGAGGTCAAGTCTCTTCCAACTGATATGCAAGCCTAGAAATAGTTATGATATCATTTTGTCTTCCATGAGAAAACACAGTATTTTTTCAAATTACTTGCAAACAACAAAGCTACAGTTTTGCAAGTTATTAGATATGGTACATCCAATATCCAGTATCCACTATAAAGCATTAAGTATGGATATTCCCACTAAGAAGCCAGTTTCTAAATTCAACAGATCAATAACTTGAACAATAAAAATACACACAAGAATCATCAAAAACACAGAAAATAGATGATAAGCAATGTGAAAACATCTCAGGAGCAGAACCAAGGGAGCCTGAGCAGGACACAATATTATATCATATATGAAATTTACATTAAAAGTTGAAGCATCCAACATGACACAGCACCCTTGAAGGCTTGAACAGGTATCATAGATTTTGATAAAACCCTTGTCTGGGGAGTGATACAACATGACCTCTCTGTCCTCATAGAGTGATCCCCAAAATGATGAATCCTGGCTCTGCCTCTGAAGCACATGACATGAAAAGAACACACAAACTTGGTGGAATCCATAATTAAATATTATCAGTTGTGGGGTTTCATCATTATGGCCTGGTAACCGTGCCATAAAATCTTTTCATGTTTTTATTGTTATTTGGATCCTAAGTAAAGCACACAAGTTGAACAGTTAACTGGGGAGAGGAAAAAGAAAAGATGATCATAAAACTTAAACAAATTTAATAATCCGATTGGACAGTGAAGGATGTAACTGAATTAAAATTAGCGTGTAGTCATGACATGTTTAGGCCAATATCCAAAAACAAATGTCCACAAACTCCACACAAATTTTAAAAAATTCATAGTCTTAAATGTGCAACTTTTGAACAATCTTCCAGAGAAACAATATGAAAAATAACAGTCCAATAACAGATAGGGCATTTTAAACAACTCTAATCTTACCTGTGCCAGATTCCCTGGAATTCCATGAAGGAAATTTCCAAGAATATGCTTTTACTAGGCAAACAAACCTTCTTAGGCCCTACAAATGACTAAAAATCATTGAAAACCCCTTAAAAAGAGAGAAAGACAGATAATTGTTGGACTTCATTATCAACTTGAGGGCTGATATGATCCAATCTATCTATACAAAATAAAATGGTGTTTATTTGGGGCATCAAGTACGGACCATCTACTGTGTTATTGTTAGGATATCTACCACCAGCTTGTATGATAATTCTTGTCTTGACTTTTATCAAAATTCTACTCCAACTTCCATGTTACCTTTTCCAAACATGGCAAGTAATTAAAAATAAATAAACAAATGAAAACAACAATACAATTATAACAATAATTACAAAACTGCCTCAATCATCTTCTCATAGAAACCCTAATCTTACAAAATTTTCACAGTAGACCTTCTCAACTCAATTGAATAATTGAACTTTGGAGTGGTAAAAAAAACAACCTAAGGACTTAGGAGCAACCCCATAGATGAAACTTGAAAATAACTGCATTAGTGAGAAGGAATGCCTTTTTCTTCTAATAAGGAAAAAATTCATCAAAGAAAAAAATGAATTATTGCAGGTAAAACGCTTTGAAAGAGCATGAGGAAGACCAAATAGAACATGACCTGAAGTGGTAAGAAATGATCTAAGGACTTTCAACTTGACAAAAAACATTGTTCTTGAGAGAGCACTATGCCAAAACATGGTTCATGTAGCAGACCCCAAAAGTTGGGATCATAGATAAATTGAGTTGAGATGAGTATCATTCCACAGGTCAGTTAAACTCTCTTGTTTGTATGTTATATTTAATATATGCAAAATATACAAATAAATGATTGAACAAATAAATAAAAAAAATACTAGACAAACAGAAAGAAGAATAAGAATAATTTCTTTCCAGATGAGGAAAAAAGCAATTCTAATAGATTTAAGTACCCTCTTATGGTCTTCTCATAGTTCCACCAATGACCGGTGTTGAAAATTAGAACATCTGCATCCCTCCATTGTACAGAACTCCAATCCATTTGATCCAATTTCAGAGTCATTTTCACCTTTTCTGGTGCCCCAGCTGGTGCTCGGCTCTGCAGCACTAAAAATGGAGCTCTGTAATACTCCACAGTGCAGTTAAAGTCCCTAAACCTGAACACCAAGAACCCATTGTGTTTGGTGATTGGGCTTCCATTTACTTCATAGATTGAATCCTTGTCCAGAATTGCTGATGAGAGCATGCAGAGAAGAGATTCCCATTGGTTTCTTCCAATCGAGTCACCAACAAATACTAGTCTTCGATTCCACAGCTTCTCCAACATTTTCTTTGCATCAAATCTTATACAAGAACAACAAAGAAGAAAAAACATCCAAATTAATTTTTTACTTCTCTTTCCTTTTCTAGTTTCTTTGTCTATCAGCAAGTATGAGATCGACAAATGAAGATAACATAAAGAGTGAGGGCAAATGAAGATATTTATAACACAGAAAGAACTATTACCCAACCAAGGAGAACTTAGGAGAAAAATCAGGCAACGTGTATTATCCATAGAATTAAGATAGAGAAACACAACGAAGGAGAAGGGAAAAAAATCATCAACTTCGCTGTTGAAAATATTCAGTCCAAATTCAACAAAAGTTCATAGAGATGCATATAAATAGAAAAAGCACTCATGACTACACCATAGAGTCGTAGACCCAGAAAGAAACTACAAATGATAACTAACAAGAAAATTTAAAATATCAAAATTACTAATGGAAAGATTCAGTGTAAGTTGTAGAATTGAGACCATTTTTCTCATCAGTTCCCATAAAAAAGCACAATCCGGGGAAGAATAAGTATTGGTAGAAATTAGAAAATAGAATTCGTAAGAATAAATAGTACGACAAAGTGGTCAAAACTTGAAGTAGAAGATTATAAATTTAACGAATACGTTGAGTCAAACGGTCATACACCAACCAATCACTCCAATGTGGCAAAATGTTCAAATCAAAACCGCAACGTCTGATCCCCAAACCCGTTACGATTTTGTAGGAAATTCTATAAAATGATGGGGGAAATTAAAAAGAATTTACCCATTAAAAATTCGCAGAACAAGAAAAAGAAAAAGGGCAAGCGAGATAGAAGAAAAGGAGAAGGGTAAAACCTGGGCAAATTGCAATCTTTAGGTTGCCACCGCCACTTGGTGTAGAAATTATCAGGCCTTCCATTCTCAGAACACCGGAACCCTTCATCCAAAAATCTGCAATCTTTAGACTGGTACAAGGGGTACTGTTCATCCCAGACCCACTCCCCTTTAAACAAATCACACCCTTCACCATCCTCTCCTAGGAACCCTGCCCTTTCATCCCGAGCARTAACATCAAAACCCAACCACATCAACTTCTCCGACTGTACACGAACGCGAAGCCCTCTAGTGACAACCGTGTAGTCCAAGTAGAAGAAGCAGCACAGAAAGCACACAGCTGTAACAAAGAAAAACCCAAGAGTCCCCAATGATGGCTCATGCGGTTTCAGTCGYTTGACCCTCTTCAGAATCTCCCAGTAAGGCATGGTTTCTGGGTCTTGAGCAAGTGGAATCTTAATCATTTAGAAAGGAATGGCCGATGAAATGGGCTATTCTTGAAGAAACTCGAAATGGGTTTTGAACGGGACGACTGTCTTCCCTTGCGCCGTCAATGTTTCAGACTATTTGCAGAAACGGAGCCGGAGACGATGACATAAAACAGAAGACTGAAAAGTACCAGTCCGCAAGCGACACAGTATTCATATGGGGAAGAGTTTCTTGCCTTGTTAGTGTAAGTTAATTATTTTGACAGATGTGCAGATCGATGAAAATGGGTGTGAAAGAAGCAAGAGAGCATTCATGGCGACGAGAGTTTCCTACTTTATTTCCTTCGTTGCTTTTTTTGCAGAACAGAGAGGAAGCGGTGAGTTTCACTTGTGGTATGTAAATAATGAATTTTTCATTCAGGGTATATTTGTGGGACAGTGTGATTAAAATGCCTTATCAAAAAGAATGATTAAATTTAAACGTGGATTTCTTACAAAGCTAGAATTCAAATTCAACGATGCCAAGATAAGGTCTGTTTGTCTTTGTTCAGACTTTTTAGAGAGAGAGAGAGAGTCCATTGACGAGGCTTTTCGCTTCCGGGGTCGTGCCACCGTGGGCGGTGGTCGGATCCGGTGGACCTCGTGGAGTCTCGTGGGGATTAGTGGGGAAAGGGAGTGGCGGATCCCGACAAATATACGGAGATTAAATAAAGATGATAAGATCGGTTTGCGAATTAAGAATGCTCACTGGTTCAGGTTACTGAGAGAGACTTCTTTGCCTCCTTCACTGTTGATTTGGCATATCTCGTGAGATCACTACGTCAACGATTTGGATCTTAAACCCTGTCCCCATGAAGATTCACCAGCTATGCCGCCATGCCGGTAATCATCATTTTCCTAAAATACCCTTGTGTCATATTTTAAATTACTGTCAGTCAAATGTGCTGAACTGTTGAGAGAGCCGTTAACTCGGGTAATAACGTACTGGATTGACACGTGGCATGAATAGTGGAGTCTATCATTCAATTTTTTACAGTGGCCCACGTCCCGTGGAGGAAGGTGCATCAGAGTTGGGGAAGTGGAGTGGGATCCGTGGGGACGACTGATTTGAGTAATGCTTTGGGAAATATGGCCCACGAGGGCCCATACCGTATATGTGAGGCCCATGTAAATTGGTCTCCTCGGGTTCCCGTAGAGGATTGGAAGTGACATGGGTGGTGGTTATGAATGTCAGTGTAAGACAACTGGCCCGCTTTTTGAGCAAATCCTCTTTCTCCTTCCAAGTACATAATCTCAAGCAGTCGAGCTTCCTTTTTGAGCATACAGAGTGAGTGAACTTCAGAAATATCGGATCGGATCTGATCTTCGAATTTGATTCGAAGCCGATTCGTTTAAGTCAATATTTTAAAACTGTCATTGATCGACCCCGGAACTAGACCAGGCAATTGGGTTGGGTGGGTCGAGCTTGGGTTGTGTCAAGATCCTTTGTGTTGATTTTGGGTCGGGTTGTCAAATGTTAGACCCTAATCTTAAATGTTCGGATTAGAGTTGACCCATGGGTCAATTCGGGTCATCCCAAAATATAACTGAAATTAAAAAAATAAAGAAAAATTATATAAAAATGCCAAAATTAAAAGAATTAACCTTAAAATTCCAAATATAAAATTAAAATTAAAAACTTGAATTAACAATTTAAGGAGTAAACGATAAAGAGTAAAGGCTAAATAGAAAAAATTAAAGAGTGGAAACTTCTAACAATGCACAAATAGTCCCAATTAGACTTGACAATCGGGTCATCGGGTTGACCCAGAACGCAACCCAATCCAGTTTTTTCCGGGTCAAGTCATTCTCACATTCAGGTAGCTAAAATATGATACCCTAACCCTGTTTTTTCGGGTCGGGTTCGCGGGTTGGGTCAACTTTTTCCAGGTATACTTGGAACCGACCCTAATACCACTTTCATTTTGACATATAACTGTTATTTTGAAAAAAAAGAGAATGACTGTTCAGCCCACCTCAAAATTCTTAGTCCACCGTACATGTGAGATAAAGCATGACCGTGGATTGGTGCCAAATCCACGGGCAAGATGAAATTTATAAGGGGCTACTAGCAGACTATGGTAGAGGTGTAAATCAGATCATAGCGGGCCGCGCTCAGCCCATCCGATGAACTAGTCATTGGGTCTAATGGCTAGTTACAGCTTTTTGAGGTTTTTTTTACAAAAGTACCCCCAATAGCTATAAACAGGTCATAGGGGGGTATTTATGTATTTTGGTTTCAGGAGGGGGGGAGAAAGAATGACACGAATTCCCCCCAACAGCAATATTATAGCTAGTTTGGGGGGTATTTTGGATAAAGTGATAAATAACTTTATAATGATCAAATTACCCCTCCCAACAACTAAAAAAAATGTTAGTTTTAGGGTATTTTGGGTAATTGAATTATTTTCAATTCATATAAATAGTCCTATCCTCCACCATTCTCATCACACCAATTCAATAGTTCTCTTAATCCCTTCTCTAGTTTTCATACTCTCTCTCAAAGTCTCAATCTCTCATAAATTCTCTAATTCAACAATTCTCTTAATTTCTTCTCTAGTTCTTATACTCTCTCAAATCGCAATCTATCAATTTCTCAATTCAACACCACAKGATGTTTCACCTAAAGTAGATGATCAAAGTCAAGAATAACAGGAGAAAATGATGAAGTCAATATTTTTGTATACTCAATAATTATATAGCATTTWAAAAAATAAAAAAATAAAAAATATATATAGCATTTTTCAAATTATTGTAAAATTTGTTTTAATTTCATTTAATTTATTTGATATTTTTAATAACGTAATTTTTATTTTCAACCTGTTACTATATTATATTTTTTATATTTTATTAATTTATTCCGTTTTTCAATTTTCATATTTCATTCATCATACCATTGTATGCTTCATTGCTTTGTATCATTCAAATTTAAATGAAATAAAATTCCTATTTTTCTTCCAATTTGTTATTCACTTTGATACTTTGTTTCTTTGACTTCTTACTTGATTAAGTATTTTTCATTTCTTTGTTAGATTTCTTATTTTTCAAATAGTTCCCAAAGGAAAGTTAAATATTTTAGTTTTACTTAGCAAAGAAATAAAAGAATAAAAAATATCAAAAAAACAAAAAAAAAAGTCTGACCAAGTTCAGCCCACGCCTAAGGCTCAACCTATGCCCTAGCCTGGCACGGCCCAGGCCCACGACACGGCTTGCAACCCACCCGGCCCAGGCCCACGGGATGGCACGGGCCCACATGGGCTTGGGCCATGGGCCGTGTTGGGCTGACTCCCCAATTTATCCCTGAGGAGGGCGACATAGCCCAGGACAGTACAACACCATTTTACACCTCTAGACTAAGGGGGCGGGGGGGCCTATAATTTCATAATTCTGTAGTGAGTTGCAGTATAATCCAAAAAAAAATCTGATCCAGACTTTCAATCTGTCAATCCATTCAATGCTAACATCAATTGCAATAAATAAGAGTTCGACTATGATACCAAAAAAACAAAATACTTACATCCAATTAATCATAATCAGTATCATAAAAGAGATGATCAATCATTTGGTGTTCATAATTCACAGGTGCTTGGTCAAAACTCTTTTAATATTATGTCTTTTCTGTATCATAGGTTTTCTCTAAAACCTACTCAGTATAATTCATAATGTGTGTATATATATATTCAGTCTTAAGTTAATATACCAATCTAACGGTTAGGATTTAATAGATTTTACCATAACCATTTTGGCCCACTCAACTGGAACGGTGAAATGCTGACCCAAGAACCAAAAGGAAAAACGATTCCATTTTCAGGTTGGTTTTTAAAACATTAGTTTAAGTTGTGATTTAAAATACATTTGAAATTTGGGTGGATTTATAAATTGGGTTGAATTTAGATATCGCTTTTATTTGGATTAATTAGAATTTGAATCAGTCCAATTGAGAAAATCTATGATGTAGGAAAGACATGATATCAGAAGAGTTTTGACTAATTAAAATCCATCCGTAAATTTTGATAAATAACACCTGTTTGGCTACCATGTTTAGAAGTTTTTCAATATTAAATGGGATTTGAGATTTAAATAAACCATTTTTCTATTTATAAAAACATTGTTTTATTTATATCTTATTTAAAAATTAATGTTAATTTTTATGTATATTTATGGAATTGGGTTTTGCTTCAAATATCAGGCTATTGTTTCCTTGCATGATCGCATCACACTTTACCTATGGCGATTGAAACAAGGCATCATCCACATTCTAGAAATGCTTACTCAACACCACGTTCATGTGGATCTCCTCTATACTCTTTGTGTATTCTTTGTGAGCAGGTAACTTAAAGCTATGAATACCCATTTATCCATTGTAATATTGTTCATGTAATGCGTTTTGGCCAATGTTTTAAAAACCAATCTGGAACTGGAACTATTTTGGTCATTAGTTTTTGGGTCAATGGTTCGATCATTCAATCCAAACAGATGATCCGTTGCAATTTAAAAAATAATAATAATTGAAGTAAAAAATGGCCAAATATCGTTGTTTAGGTTGAATGGGTTGACGGTTCAATCACGTAGATCAATAGGTCACTGACCAAATCAACAGCTTTTTTGGCAAGATTCTGGTTCGTGGGCGAAGTAGAACTAATTGACTGGACAGTTTTCATGCTGAATGGTTTGACTGTTTGGGTCAACGATGGTTCAAAAACCATGTTTTTGGCTTCATATTGTGTTTGTGTCATAACTAATTTATTCCTTGATCATGGTCTTGAGGGATTGCTCAATATTTGGTAAGGGACTCCTATTAATAGTGTCCTTGACAACCACACTTGTTGTCATAGTTTTCAAACCATTGTTGACTTGGACAGTTGGATTATTCAGTTTGGAAGTTGATTCCATTTTTACCCCAAACCGCTTTTCGGGCAAAAAACATTGACTTTGTAAGCAATTCACTGACGTGGGCAACCAAACCATCAATTACCTGGGTAAGTGAATTTATCTATGTTATTTTATTTCCCAGGTAAATAAGGTAATCACTATTTTAGCCATAAAAATCCATTATTAAAAGGGGCATTTTGTCCCATTCAAGTGTTAGCAACTTTTCCCCTAGGTGAGAAAGTTATTTACCCACCTAGGAGATGGGTATCACTTACCTATACCCAAGAAAATAAACTTTCTCTGGTTTCCACATAATTCTGAAAAATAAACATGGGATTCTTGGTCAATGGTTGCCAGAATCCCATTGACCAACTTTCCCCCCTCTCAAAATCCAGAAAAAAAAAAAAAAGAATGCCCCCTTAATTTTTTAAATGGTCACAAGCTGATCTACTTGGACCGGATGGTTGAACTGCTGATATGGAAATAGGGGCCAAAATGATTTCAGTTTCAGGTTAGTTTTTAAAACATTGCTTATTATTTTGTTTTTGATTCTTTTTTCATGTGCTAAATTTGGGTTGAATATACTATTTGCTTTAGAAAATATTTCTAATTAGCACGGTTTTTGAATTGTTGTTGACCCTGACGGTCATACCATTCAGCCTGGAAACTACCCATGCATCTGG